ACACCCCACACACACCCCCAGCCCTCTGCCATGACCCTTGAACCCCCCACATCCCCAGCCTTCTGCCCTACACCCCACACACACCCCCAGCCCTCTGCCATGACCCTTGAACCCCCCACATCCCCAGCCTTCTGCCCTACACCCCACACACACCCCCAGCCCTCTGCCCTGATCCTTGAACCCCCCCACTACACCCCAGCCTTCTGCCCTGAACTCCCTCCCCCCAGCCCTCTGCCCTGACCCCTGAGACACCCCCCCCCCCCCAGGTCTGGGGTCCCGGCCATAGGCCCTGCTCAGCCCACTGCCGGCCTAGGTGAACAGAACCCCAGGCTGGCAGTGAGCCAAGCAGGCTAGTGGCGTAAGATCAGCATTTTAATTTAATTTTAAATGACGCTTCTTAAACATTTTGAAAACCTTGTTTACTTTACATACAATAGTTTAGTTCTATATTATAGACTTATAGAAAGAGACCTTCTAAAAACGGTAAAATGTATTACCGGCACGCGAAACCTCAAATTAGAGTGAATAAATGAAGACTCGGCACACCCCTTCTGAAAGGTTGCCTACCCCGGTCTAGAAGTTGATAAGCCTTCTAACAGAGCTGGTTCTTTTAGCTCAGGCAGCAGCAGCCCAGGATTTTAGATGTAGAGGTCGTGGGTTCGAGCCCTACTGTCAACCTCCCGCATGGGTGCATCGACAGCAAGACTTCCTATGGGGAGGGGAAAGAGGGGCTATGTCTCAGATGGAGGAAGAGAGCAGATGCTGACAAGAAAGTGACAGAGGCTGGTAGATCCGGTCCTGGTGCAAAGGAGGCAATGAGCCACGGGTGTGTTTCACACTGTTTATTACAGGAATCTCAGTTCCCTGGGGAAGGGGCAGTGGCAGCTGTGGCTTGCTTCTAGCAGGTGATGGAGGCTCGGTTGCTGGAGTTCTCCCTTATAATGCCCCGGATCCAACCGGTGAATCTGCAGACTTTGGTGTAGACGCCTGGCTTGCCTTTCGGCGCGCAAACCTGTGATCCCCACGAGACGATGCCCTGGAGTTTCCCGTTGCAGACCAGCGGGCCGCCGGAGTCACCCTGCACGGGGGGCGTGGGGGGAAGGGGGATGGGGAAGTGAGGAGAGACAGAGAAAGCATTTCCATGGTAATGATAAGACCACTGAGCTCACCTCATCAGTAGATCTCAAAAAACTTTACAAAGGAGATCGGGATCCATTAGCAATCCGGTTGAGAGGCACTTCCAATTCCTATGGAAAACTCCCAAGAGGCGACCTAGGGGGTTTGCTCTCATTTGAGAGGTCCCCCTTCCCCACACTGTCCTCAGCCCTGCCCCCCCTCTTACCTGGCATGAATCCACGCCTCCTTCCTTCACACCAGCACACAGCATGTTTTCGGTAACGGCGTCGGGGTAAGATTTATCGCAGTCCGCGTTGGGCTGGATGTAGACTTTCCCACATTGCAGAATGTTGGGGTACTGCACTAGAACAAAAAGTCCCCAGAAGTTCACTGATGAGTTAAAGGGTGAGAGAAAACGCTTTCGCCCATCTAGACGCAAACAACATCTGTGTCTCAGTTAGCACTCAGCACTTTGGTTCCAAGGGGAGCTCCAGCTGAGAAAGCATTGGGGCTGTGTGATAAATTCTAACTTATAGGAGCGGAATCTTTCCCTGGGAATTTCAGAGAGGCCTAGGTGAGTTAGGTGCACAAAATCCCAGCTTTCGTGGTTAGGGATGGCGGCAAAAGGGGGAGAAGGAGAGTGGGGATTGCAACATTGTTTCCAAATGTTTTTTTCACCGTTGTGTCACTGAAAATAAAAAATGCATCAAACGGTTGAAATTTGGAAATCATGTCAAAATTTGGAAATCTTGTCAACTTTTTGAAATCTGGGGAGCGCATCAACATTTGGAAATTTGGACTCTCGCTGGAATTTCAAAATTTGGAAGCTTGTTGAGATTTTGAAAAGTGAAATCTTGGTGAAATTTGGCACGCATGTCGAAAGATCTGCCTTGCAAATCTCATTGAAATATTGAATTCTGGTAGTCACATTGAAAAACTGAAATTTGGAAATCTTGTCAAAATTTTGAAATTTGAAAATCTCATCAGAATTTCTAAACGTTCAAAATTTGACCAGTCAGTTGAAAAATAGATGGGAAATGGTCACAAAAATTGTAGATACATGGCAGTGAATATTAGGTAGGGAGGACCTCAGACTGGAAAAATGTTGGCTTTGAAATAAAGGGACAAACACAGAAACATCTGATTTGTTACTGTCACAGAATTCAAAGTGCCTCAGAAAGTATCTGTATATCCATCCATCCTTATACACATTCATCTGTCTTTACACATACCTATCATCCATCCATCTCTCTTCATACACATCCATCCATCCATCCACCCTCATCCACACCCATCCATCTCTCTTCAGACACTTCCATCCATCCATCCATCCACCCTCATCCACACCCATCCCATCCATCTCTCTTCATACACATCCAACCATCCATCATGATGCACATCTATCTATCTATCTATCTATCTATCTATCTATCTATCTATCTATCTATCTATCTATCTATCTATCTATCTATCTATCTATCCCATACACCCCCTTTGTTTATCTATCTATCTATGTACACCTCCTCTATCTATCTATCTATCTATCTATCTATCTATCTATCTATCTATCTATCTATCTATCTATCTATCTATCTCCGTACACCCTCTCTCTCTATCTCTCTATCTATCCCCATACACCCCCTCTATCTATCTATCCCATACACCCCCTTTGTTTATCTATCTATCTATCTATCTATCTATCTATCTATCTATCTATCTATCTCATACACCCCCTTTGTTTATCTATCTATCTATGTACACCCCCTCTATCTATCTATCTCCGTACCACCCCCCCTCTCCGTACACTCTATCTATCTATCTATCTATCTATCTATCTATCTATCTATCTATCTATCTATCTATCTATCTATCTATCTCCATACCCTGCCCCCTCCCCCCGTCTATTTATCTATCTATCTTGGCCAGGAACACCTATCTAATGGTGTTGTCTACCCAGTGCACAGCTGCCATAGTATGTCGGAGGAGCTCCAGAGAGGTCTGAAAGGCCATTGCAAGGGTGTTCAAAGAACTCTCACTGCAGAACATCTATGGTCCTCATCCTCATTCCTGCAGGACCCCATATTCCCTCCACCTCCCTTCTGCCCCCCAGCGTCCCATTGCAGATTGCTCCTGTACCTTTAGGGGTCTGGGTCGTGCCCCATCCGGACACCAGGCATTCCGTGTTGGGTTCAGGACATCTGTCAGGCAGGCCGATGGTTTTGACGTAGTTGTTGAGGTTGGCGGTGTTCTGCAGCTTCAGCAGCATGATGTCGTAGTCGTGCGAGGTGAGGTTGTAGTTGGGGTGAGGGAAGGACTGGGTTGATTTGATGCACTGCTCCGTCCCCTCGCTGGTCCTCAGGCTGTACTCCCCCAGGCGAATGGAGATGGGGCTGTAGCAGGGACACGGCACAGGGAGCAAGATAAAAATAGCTGCACCCTCGCCTGGGACCTCCCCTCTTCCCACCTTTCCTCCTTCTACAGCTGGGGACTCTCTCCTGGGTAGCAGTGACTCTGAAAAAGATTTGGGGGTCATGGTGGGTAATTGGTGGCACACGAGCTGTGGCCCAAACAGCTAATGCGATCCTGGAAGGCATAAACAGTGGGACCTTGAGTAGGAGCAGAGAGGTTATTTTTCCTTTATATTTGGCCCTGGTGTGACCATAGCTGGAATCCTGTGTCCTTAATTCAAGAAGGATTTTGATCAATTGGAGAAGGTTCAGAGAAGAGCCAGGAGAATGATTGAAGGATTAGAAATCCTGCCTTATAGTGACAGACTCCAGGAGCTCAATCTAGTTAGTTTAACAAAGAGAAGGTTGAGGCGTGACTTGATCCCAGTGTATAAATACCTAGATATGGAACAAATATTTAATTACAGGCTCTTCAATCTAGCAGAGGCAGGTCTAACACAATCCACCAGCTGGAAGCTGAAGCTAAACAAATTCAGATGGGAAATAAAGCACACATTTTGAATGGTGAGAGTAATTAACCAGTTGAACAATTTACCAAGGGGTCTGGTGGTGGATTCGTCATCATTGGGAATTTTTAAATCAAGACTGGATATTTTTCTAAAAGCTTTGCTCTAGGAATTATTTTGGGGCAGTTCTCTGGTCCGTGTGGTACGGAGGTCAGACTAGATGATCACAATTGTCTCTTCTGGCCTTGGGATATATGACTCTGTGAATCTAAACTGCTTGGAATATGGTGATTCGTTTTGCAAGAATTTAAATAAAAAACAACCCAAACAAACATTTTTCCCACCTGTTTTCGTAGAAATTTCCACTTGAATTTTTTTGTTTAAATTTGAAAACTATTTTCAGTTAAAAATGTTCTTTGAATATCAACTCTGCTAAAAAAAAGTTGAATTTTTAATACCATTTTTGATCTTTCCCACACTGTTTTTCAGAAACATTTTTGGTAAAATGCTTCACTTTTTGAAAATGTTTTTGGTAAAAAAATCCATTTTTGTGTCACTATTTTGTGTCACTATTTTCAGAGAAAAAAATTGTTTCAAAAGAAACTTTTGGGGTAAAAATTGCAATGTTTTTAAATACCTTTGGTGGGGTGGGAATCAGTTTTCCAAAAAATGTTTTTGGTAAAAATTTTGAAACCCATTTTTGGTGGAAAACAGTTGCAAAAATAATTTACAGGGTGTTTTGGTTTGTTTCGGTTTCAAATACCCTCTTGGTTAAAAAAAATCATTTTTTGAAAACTGTTTTTCATTTAAAAGCCTGCCTTTGAAAACCATTTTCTGTCCAAACCCAACATTTTTTGAAAACCATTTTTGGTACAAGTGTATGGTTTTTGTTCAAAAATGGAGAAATTTAGCTGCAAACGAGACTGCTTAAAAATTCCGTCTGATGAAAAGTCGTTTTCCCACCTAAAATTACTTTTCAACTGAAAAATGTTGGCTATATCTACAACTTTCAAGCCACAAGAGGTAGTAATCCCATAACTCTTCACAATGGGAGACTAGCGCATAGCACATACTGAATAGCGCATTTCTGTGATGCTGTGTGTGAAACGCACAACAAAGGACTAACACAAGCACCTCCATTTTAGTAAAGAAGATGGCTGGCCTAGAGGTTATGGTAAGACTATCCTGCTCTTGAAGGACCTAAGTTCTATTCCCTCCTTTGCCAAGTTGCTTAAATTCTCTGTGCCTTAGTTTCCCTATCTCTACACTGCCCTAGTTCTGAGGACTGTTATAAAGATAAATACAATGACTCTGACACCACAGTGCTGGGGGCCATGTAAGCACTTTAGAGTGATCGACAAAGAGCTGTGTTTAAAGCTTCATTTCTTCCCAGCTCAGGCATTTTTTTTGCTGTTCACCCAACTCTATTAATGATAATTACGCTTAATGGAATATGGGAATATAATTATTATTATTATTATCATTATATAATTATAATATAGAGGTCATGTTCCAAACATCGCACACGTATGAACATGGCTCTGTGAGAAAGTGAAGCAAATGACATTAACCCCAGAGGAGGAAACTGAGGCAGGGATTGATTACAGTCTGAAGTCAGTTGCACAGCAAGGACAATGAGCTGTGAATTTCATCTCAGCCCCATAAACCATGAGATTCTTCCAGGCTCCCAACAATATCTTCTCATCCTAGAAGAGCCAATCTTGTATGCTGCTTTTGTGCATTTTTTCTGGAGTCCTTGGCTGGGTTTGTACTACCATTAGGGCAGGTTAAAAAATGTATGTTTTTTGAGGGAATATTGGATTTCTGGCTCAATGACATTTTTCACACAAATTTCCCACTGAAAATGCCAATTTTTGTCAAAAAACAAAATGCCCCAAACCGTCAAAAATTTGGCCACATATAGATGGATAGGTAGATAGTTTTATTCTGAAATGTCTTGCATCTGAAGAAGTGAGGTTCTTACCCACGAAAGCTTATGCTCCCAATACTTCTATTAGTCTTAAAGGTGCCACAGGACCCTCTGTTGCTTTATTCACCGCTGCACCTCATGAGAGTTATAGCATAAATAAATAAATGGAGATATCCCATCTCCTAGAACTGGAAGGGACCTTGAAAGGTCGTTGAGTCCAGCCCCCTGCCTTCACTAGCAAGACCAAGTACTGATTTTGCCCCACATCCCTAAGTGGCCTCCTCAAAGATTGAACTCACAACCCTGGATTTAGCAGGCCAATGTTCAAACCACTGAGCTATCCCTCCCTCCACAAGCATGGGAACCTTGTGCCCTACCCTCCACCCCCATTCTCCTCTACTTTCCAGGGTCTCCGGCTGGGCTACAGCTCCCACAATGCTCTGCAGCAGTGCAACATTTAACCCTAAAAGCATGTTGCATCATGGGAGATGCAGACCAATCAGGGAATCCAGCCTATAGAAGAGAATGGGCGCGCAATGCAACCCAACTACACCTCTTGTGATACACTGTGGCCGTGTGATATTAACACTTGTCAGCTCACCCTATGCTAGAGGAGACACTGTAGTGCATCATGGGAGATATAATCCGACCAGGAAATCCAGCCTATAGAGGAGAATACAAGTGGAGAGGTGTGAGACACTCAGACTATATCTCCCATAAGGCACTGCGGTGACTTTCCATATCGAAATATTTCAGATCTTAGATTTTTTGTTAAAAAGCCCTCAAAATTTCCTGTGGAAAATGTGCACAAAGATGATTTTTGCCCCTCCGTTTTCACTGGAGGGGAAAAAAAAATCATTTCCTCACCAGCCCCAGCTGTACACACCTCTCCAGAGGGAGGGGAAGGGCGGATGAGCCCGGCTCCCTTTGCAAGGTCTCCTAATCCTCTGTCTTTCCATGTAGGACGCTTTTAAGCAGAGACGCCAGCAACTGGTTGTGGCTGGGTGGTGATTGCAACCAAAGGCAGGTCACAAAGCCGCCGAGTGAGATTTATCATCCCAAGCAATCTGGTGACTAAGGCCTACTCTGCCTGAGAAAAGCTGCCCAACGTAAATAATTACTGACCTGATTTGAGGGAGGGTTAAACCAGTTTCAGTGTGTCCACATTGTGGGGAGCAGGGTGTCCCGCCAGTTCATCTACACCAGTGGTGCCCACGTCCCCCTGACCAGTAACTGATGTCCATGCCCCCCGGGCCGGGAGCAGAGTCATGGCCAGGCTGGGGGCTGTGGCCGGGAGCAGAACCGCTGTGATAAATGAATGGGGGGGGGGGGACACCCAGCCAGCCAGTAGCTATAAAATCCCTCTTAGTAGCTGTTCGCTAATTGCTCTACCAGTAAAGGGTTCAAAAGTCTCACTGCTATGCAGAGGTAAAAGGAAGTGAGTGGGCACCTGGCCAAAAGAGCCAATGAGAAGGCTAGAACTTTTTAAAATTGAAAAAAGACCCCCCTTTTGTCTGTCTGTTGTTGTTCTCCCGGGAAGAGGCAGACAGAGTTATGCTGTAAGACGCTTGGGGCCAGGTATGAAAAATCCTCGATATTATACCTAGAAACTACTAATTTGAAACCCCAGATATGTAAGTAGATCAGGAAATGTCTAGGGAGACGTGATTAGGTTTAACGCTTTTGATTTCTTTATGGCTTGTGGACTCCTCTGTGCTAAACCCAGGTGCTTTAGTTTTGCTTGTAACCTTTAAGCGGGACCTCGAGACACTCTATTGCTATTCTTGGTGCTTAATCCTTGTAGTTACTCTTTTAAAATCTAGCAAATGCCTGAGTTTCCAAATGTATTTTCTTCCTCTTTTATTAAATAAAATTTACCTTTTTTAAGAACAGGATTGGATTTCTGTGTTTTAAGAGGTTGTGCACATGTTTTTTAGTTAGCTGGTGGAAATAGCTGATTTCCTTTTTTTTTGTTCTATCTCAGCTCTACCCCAGCGGGGTGTGTGTGTGTGTGTGTGTGAAAGGGCTTGAGGGCACCCCACAGAAAGGAATTCCCAAGTGTGCCTTCCTGGGCTCTCCAAGGGGTTGTGCACTTGGGTGGTGGCAGCATTTACCAATCCAGGGTCAAAGAAAAGCTGTAACCTTGGGAGTTTAATACAAGCCTGGAGTGGCCAGTATTAATTTTTAGAATCCTTGCAGGCCCCACTTCTGCACTCGAAGTGCCAGAGTGAGGAATTAGCCTTGACCGCCGCGGTAGGGTTGCCAACTTTCTATTTGCAGAAAACCGAACACCCTTGCCCCGCCCCCTGTCCCACCCCTTCTTCAAGGCCCCACTGCCCGCTCGCTCCCCCCCGTCGCTTGCTTTCCCCATCCTCGCTCACTTGTGTGTTTTCACTGGGCTGGGGCAGAGGGTTGGGGTGCAGGAGGGGGTGAGGGTTCTGGCTGCGGGTGTGGGCTCTGGGATGCGGCCAGGGATGCGCGGTTTGGGATTCAGGAAGGGACTCCTATCAGAGGCCGAGGGGTTCAGAGTGCAGGAGGGGGCTCAG